ACGTCTGATAATTCCCCGAGCAGGCAGAGACAAGGTCACAGAATTCAAAGAAATGAGGAAAGAAGTTTGTTTTTGCCTGAACATCTGCATCACAGCAGCTGCAGGACGCAATTTCTCATCCTGAACATTCATTTTATTGAGCAGTTTTCCCTCTACGTGTTGGACATCAGCTGGTACAAGGAAGCTGTGATCATCGCTCTGCAGCTCACTTGACGGCGAAGCGGCACAAACATGAGAGACGTGGGAACTGACGCCTTCAGCCACAACGGAAATGTAAATGAACAGTAAAGGAGGTTAAAGCAGGGCTTTTTTTTTTTGCATCTCCCAGTGCAAATAATTAGTCGAACTCGTGTGTAAATGTATGTAAAGTTTCATTTACATACAGATATCCCCAGCAGGTTTAGGTAAATACAGGTATCTGGCAGACCGCTTCAGTTTCTCTCAACGTAAATAACTATTTCTTCTTGAATTCACATCCTTGCAGATGAGGTTGCAGCGGGTCGCCTTTAGCTAATGCCAGCTGAGAGTCTTGCATAGTCTTATCTTTTTTTTAAACTTCCCAGGCAGAAAGAGGAGGACTTTCTATGCATTTGCTTTTGTATTTTTACACAACGCAGGTGTGTGTGTGAGAGAGAAAGTGAAATGGGAAGCGTGTGCGTTCAGGCCTGCACGTGAGCGTCGTCGGCAGCCTCATTAGCGGGATGGTTGACATTCCTCAGCCCTGAGTCAGTCAGTCAGTCAGCGCCGGTCCAGCTGTGGTTTCTCGGTGATGTTCGAACAGGTTCGCTCGCTGAAGCTTTGTAAACGACTGACAAATCCTCTCCGTGTTATTTGGGTTATGGCTTCCAATCCAACCTTGTCGTCGCTCTAATTAACATAAAACAGGAACGCAGCGTGCTCCTCGCATCTGTTTATTTATTCGACGACTCGACCTCATCTCGGCAGTTCACAGAGGCGCAAAACAGAAGCGTTCATTCACGATTAGCGCTCACAAAGATAGCTTTTTCCTCCGCATGTTTTGACATTCTGTCCCGCTGATCCATACGACTCCAGGCTGGGCTCGCCAACAACCTCGTAAAAAAAAAAAAGAGCTTCCTTTGAGAGCGTACATTAACTCTGTTGACAAAACATTCAGGTCCTGGAAAGTGAAAGAAAACAAAGTGTGCGTCTCATGACTCGGAGTCAGGAGCTGGCCAGTCGTCTCCACTTCCTCCCTTTCTTCCTTCTTTTCTTTCTTTAATATGTGTAAATATTATTCATGAAAGTGTTCAAAGCATCCTGAGGTATAAGTCAGGTAAATCCAGCCTGACTCTAAGTCGACAGAAAAGGTGTTTAGAAAGCAATAGCTATATTTTCTTGGCACCGGAGAAGACTTTGCGGTGACATGTACCCTATAGATAATATGGATTAAGCAGTTGTGGAGAGGAAAAAAAAAAAGCAGATATGAGGGGACTTTGGCTCTCAGACAGCTCTGTGTTATTACTTCATGTGTGCAGAAGGTTGTGTTCCTCTTTGTTTGCATAGACGGATGTACAGTGTGTGTGTGTTTGTGTGAGCAGCTTTCCCAGCATTCCTTTCTTGCTATAGCGTCCTCTCTTCCTCTGTCTCCACACACATATAGGAAGTGATGAATAGGAGGTGTCCATCCACCCCCGCACACCTCTTCCCCCGGCAGCACCACAGATCTGCAGATTGCACAGCGCCGATTAATCTCCGCTGGAGTTTTGAGTCGCGTCGCTCGGACTCTGCCAAAAGCCAGATTTCTCACACCTACGGAGGCACGTTTGGGTGCAGAGTTGGTGTTGCTGAGGTGAGGCAGCAGCTAAACGCAGCCAAAACATAGAAGCGTAGGACAGCTTAGACACACATGGACTTGGGTTAGTGTGTTGCTTCATAACGTTGGCAGTTCCACCCCTCAAAGGCAAACTATCACTGGAACCCAGTGGCAGGTATCCGGGAGTGTCACGGTACACTGTGCTGGAAACTAGAAGTACGTCAGCCTGAGGGGAGCGAGGAGGGGAGGAGGTTTGTTTTTAGTTTCCTTCTGCAGATAAGAGCAGCTGCAGTTTAAAGGGCTGGGCGCGTGAGTGTCTGCCGGGGATATCTACAGTGTACAAAAGCAAACCGGACAACCTACTATGCATGAGAAGGTCTGAATGCGGTCCGCAGTGTGTGTGTGGAAAGCATGAATGCGGAGAATTTCCTGATGTACGATGCATCTATGATGATCCGTGACACGGTATGCATCCACAGAAAGATCCTAATATATATCAACTTTGCTGGAACTCTTGTTGTTGTTCCATTTGGACTCACATCAACACAGCACAAGAACATATTGAAGCAAACGTCGGCCCACTTCCAGCAGCTCACATGCTCCCAACATAAAGCGACTGATGCTCGCAGACCAGTCGACACATTCCTCGTTAATGTGCAATCTTTCATACTTGTTGCGCACTTTTAAAGCCTCTGAATTAGCGGTTAGAAGAACAAGCTTCCCCTCCGAGGCGCAGATAAGGTGAAGTAATGTTCAGAGGAAAGCACAATTCCTTCCAGCTTATCGTTGCTCAATCAGCTCCAGCGTGCTTCCAGAAATAGACGAGGCGGAGAGGAGCCCGGCCGAGGGAAGGGACTGAAAAGACATTAGTCGTTTCTTTTTTTTTTTTTGCTGAGGACAGTGACATTAACATAAGGCCTCGTCGAGCACAAGCTGAGCCGAGCTCCACCTGTTTTTATGACAGCAAAAGGGGGGAGGGAGGGGAGTGAGAGGTGAGTTTGGCATCAGATTAGCCTCGATAGTGACGCTGGCAGAGTTTCAGTGTCTCTCTGCTCCTACAGCAGTCCCACCGATCCCTCTTCTCTTTGTTGCTCGGTGCTATTCTGATCCCATTCTCGCTTGGATTTTCTCCTCTCTGGTATTCTTAGTGCAGTATTTTTTTATAGCATCCTCTTTGTTGTCCCTTCTTTCACCCGTAGGGACGTAGACAGGGTTGGAAAGAACCAGATTTCGTTGCTATTTAAACTGCAATATTCCTACTTAGAATACCGGTGATTCCTCAAAAGCGTCTCGTCTGTAACACAACAGGATCCGTCACATGTCAGATTAGATAACGTCCTGTTTCCTGATCAACGTGTCATGTGGTCGACGGCTCAACATGATTTTAATTTCAAAAAAATCGAACGATTGTCCATTTAAAGCAGCGAAACTGCAGCCGGTTTGAAAAGACGTCTGCGCAGGACAGTGATGGAAAAGCACCGTGTTTCAAAACCGATCCGAAGATGCTGTGAATTTATTTTTATACTCAATAGCCTCTTTAAATCACTTACAAACACAACTCCTCCGGTTAACGTAGGCCTTTTTGTATATGCGGAAATAAAGTTGAAGGTTGCTATAAATCTGCTGCAGACCAAGCAGTAAAATAACTAATTTAAGTGAGCAGAGGGCAAAAAAACATCACCGATCCCAACCGCATATGTCCCACTGATGGACGCGTTGTGTAGTAAAACGCAGAAAACAAAATAAAGCGCAGATGGTTCAGCAGCGTGCAACAAGTAATGATTATCCAATAAAGGCCCTTTTTTTTTTCAGAATGACCTGTTCCACAAAAAACATCCAGTCAGAGCAAACACAGAGTCACGGAGCGAGATAAACAAACCCACTCCCACCAGGCCCCCGTGTATCAGCAGCCAAGATAAACCGGCGCACACGCTGAACTTTACGCAGCCTATCAGGCCCCGAGTGTATCAGGGGACGCGCAGGCAGACGAGCGATGATGAGGCGGCCCCCGGGGGGACCGCGATACGCCGGCGGGGTCGGGGCGATTCCAGTCAGCCGGCGCTGACACGATGCAGTCCGACAAGCTCTCATCAGACGCAACGCCACGGAGGTCTCAGGCAGATACAGCAGTGTGTGGGTTTCTATTACTACAATCATCCACAGAATAACAAAAAGACCTACCAGTTCCCTTCATCCCTACATCTGTGGATCCAATTTCCATCCCATATTTGCCAAGTTATGTGTCGACTAATCTGCCTAATTGCTGTATTAATCACCCCAGGAAGGTCTTCAACTCTTATGCAAGACTGTGAGGTGCTAGAAAGCTGTAAAAGCGCTTGTTTTTTATGACGAATAGCTTCTTTCCATTCTGTCACTCTTGTTATCTTCCAACCCGGCGTTATCGCAGCGCTTTCTCACGATGCACAGATCACGCTCCGGTCCTGCCAGTTAGCCATTAACAGGCCACATCCTCGGGGACACTGGGTGAAATGTGACTGACCAGCTTCCAGCGACACACTCATCAGCACCGTTTTTACTGTTACGGTTTAATAAATAGCTCGCCAGACTTCCCTTTTTTTTTCTGTATTTCCAACTTGAGAATAAGTCACGCTGTCTGGTCATGCAGAGAGAGTTAGCAAAAACTAATTTTCTCTGCTCACATGCACCGTTGAGCACGATGGCTTTTCTTAGGGTTTTACAGTTTGCACATGTGTATTTTCATCAGACCGGGTGGGTTTCTATAAACGCCTCCGCCCACCGTACGCCGCTTAAGGTTTGTGCGGCGTCCAAAAATGTTTTCGCAACCTGCTAGCGAGCGGCCTTGTCGTACATATGAGGCCGGGCTTTTAGTTCAGGAGGTTATCGGGCGAGATGCAATCACACTCCCACCAACCATATGTGCAATGACAGTTGGCCCAAGGGCAACTGTTAGCCAACACAGCCTGCACGGTGTGAAACTGCTGCTGCTGAGGGCTAATACTGGATATCACAGGCAGAGGAAATGAAATGTGTAGCGTATGATCTAATGTAGGTTTGTGCTTGTAATCAACTAAACCTGCAGAAGTGTGAGCAAACTATGACCTAAATGAACAGCGATGTTTGGAAAAACCTGATAAGTTTCGTGACTTGGAGGCAGAAATCTGTCCCAGCATGTCAGAGAAACAGCCAAAGTTCTGCTGTCAGACTCGCCTCCGCCGAGCACACAAACCGACGACAAGGTGAAGGATTATTTTCAAGCTTTTTAATACAAACTTAATAAACTATCAGTCCCTCTTAACATGTAAGACACTGACTCCGAATACTTTGTTATACCGTTTTGTTTTTATCAAGTATTGCACAATGTAGGTACAAAATTAATATACGATTACATTTTGTCCATAATATAGCAAAAATCTTTAAACTCTTAACAGAAAATACAACTCTTATGTTTTTCAAAAAAGCAAATATTCTTAAATCCCACCACTACGGAATATTCTGTACACAATCTTTAGAATAGTCAATGTTTTTTTTTTTTTTAAGATGGATTCATTTTTTTATAATTTCAATAAAAAAAGAAAACATAAAGTTGCTGCAGCCATCACAGATCACTGGAGTAGTAAAAAGATATAAATGCAATACCATGTCGTAGAAACAATAGATACTCTGATATTTTACAAACTCTGTACTAAATTAAATTATACAATTAGAAAAAGACCAGGAAATCCCACTTATTTTTGCCAATTTCTTGAAAAAAAATTGGCGTTGTCCAGTTATGTTTAAATACTGAAAGAGGCCATGACTTGTGGTGGTGGGTTCTTTGTTTTTTTTTTTTGTCTTTTTTTTATATCTTAAAACAGTCACATAAAAAAAATATTTTGTGCTTGGTTGGCAAAAGAAATAACAATGATGCATGTTGAAGTTTACGTAACCAAGCTTGGACATCTTGTACTACAAGCTTCATTGTTTAAGAAAAAAAACAAAAAAAACAAGTATAACTCAAGGGGGCAACGTAATTCACCCTCGGGCTCATGCTCTTTGACTCGTAACTTAGATCTTACAGGTGACAAGTCGTGTTTTTTTTCCTTTTAATTCTTGACATTCTGTTCTCGTTTACACTTTTTTTTATTTTTCAAAATGTGCATTTGTGTTTGTTTCCCCCATCACATTATCTCTGGTCGTTTCTGTATGAAGTAGTAGCTTAAGTAGTACCTTTGTACTAGTTGGCCATGACTGGCTGGAATTGCTGGTTAGAATACTGCATGTTGCTTAAGCTGAAATTCAAGCCATCCATAAGGGACTTGTCGTTAAGGCCACCGTAGGCCGCAAACATATCGAAGGCATTGCTGTACTGCAGCGGGCTGAGGCTGAGAGAGCTGTCCCCGGGGAACAGAGCACTCTGGCTGCCCTGGCCCTGCAGGCTGGGGAACACAAACTCCTTGGCGTTGGGGGACAGGGCCGAGGGCTTCTGGTGCTGCTGCTGCGCGCCGAGGCCCAACCCGTACAGAGAGTGCATGGAGGTGGAGATGGCTTTCTGTTTCAGGAGACTGTTCACATTCAGGCCCAGGTTGGTGGGAGAGGTACGGGCCACCTTGTTGCCAGCGCTGCCGCCGCCGCCGCCGCCGTTGCCGCCGTTGTTGTTGTTGTTGCGTCCACTGCTCTTCATCTTAGTGGAGCCGAACTTGGTGGCAGCGAAGGTGGCCGTCGTGAAGGTTAAAGGCTGCGTGGAGCGCGGCATGAAGGTGGGGCTGACCGCCGCCGAGTGGCCGAAGGGAGGCGAGGGCGAGCTGGAGCCCGGAGAGGCGCCGTTGACGGGCTCGCTGATGGGCATGAAGACCTGCGCATCCGGGTTGAAACTGTTCTTGATCTCCTTGTCCAGATCGAGCCCTCCACTAGTAGCTCCACTTTCGTTGCTGTCGTCGACGTACAACACTTTGACTGGGCCCTTCTCCCCAATCTGGTAGGACACCTCGAAGGGGTCAATCCACACGCTGAGGTCCTGGGGCAGGTTGTTGCGAACATCCTCAATGTCCAGCCCGCTCTCTTTGGCTGCCTTCTCCACCACGGGGTCCACCTTCTCTCCCACGTGGATGCATCTGAATCCTGAGCCCTTGTATGGCTTGTCCGGGTACCAGTGTCCCTCGTATTTCTGCTTCAGCTGCCGCTCCAGCTCCTCGCCAAAAATGTTGACCCGCCGCCTCGGCAGCTTGTTATATAGGTACGAGATGATGAAGTTGAGAGCTACTTGGATTTCAAGCTGCATAGCTAACTGCTGAAGTTTACCAGGTGTGTGGAGAATAGTTGTGTCTGACCTTGACTGTGTCCACTGGGTCTGCTTTGTTTATCCGTGTTTGGCAACACAGACACACTCCAGGCAGGATGAAACGGGTTCAAAATCAAAAGTGCTGGTTTTGTGTAAGTGGTGTCCTTCCACAGGGTGTGACAATTATTTGTATTTTTTTTTCCTGCAACAATCAATAGAGAGAAAATCAAATCGTAAGTAAATGTAAATACGAGCAGAAGGATCACGTTATCAGATGTGTTTGTGCCATTTGAACACACAGCTACTGGAGACTGGCAGGTTAATTATTAAACATCTGCTTTAAGTACTGAAGCATGTTGTAGTTTTAACGCTGCGAGCTCAGACACACACACAAGTTAAACGTCACACAGCAGAGAAGCGAACCTCACAGGGGCAGCAAATGTTCAAATATTCAAACAGAGCCAACTGATCTGGGATCAAGCTTTGCTTCTTGCTCATCTCACACCTAAAGTCACCTAAATGTCCAAAAAGAAAAAAAGAAAAGTGGGTATTGGGCACAGTGAGCTGGGAATCCTCTTACATAATAGGTTACCAGATAGCCTCCTTCCAGCAGGAGACAGGAAAACTACTGGTGCATTTAATTAACAAATTAACTTAACCGAGTAAAATTATCGGTCTGATGGGAGGGTAAGTTGGTTAAGACAAAAAAAAAGAGCTGGGTGGATTTCAGAGGTTTACAACCGAGTCACGGGGGGCTGGTTAAGGGATTCCTACATTTTAAAAAAACACAAGAATTAACAAACCAGAACCCTGTTTGACCATTTTTTTGCAAGATCTTGAGTGTTTAAACATGAATCTAGTCAATGTAACGCAAAAATCCAGAGCCTTAAAGCACATTTTAGGAAATAAACAACCCTCTTGCTCTAAAAAGAACAGCTAGCAGCAAGGACAGAGTTAACTTGTTGAGGCTGCTACCTCGCACTTTATCCCTAATATGGGAAGAAACAGGAAAAATACCTGCAACATGTACTCTTAGTCCAGCTCGTACTACATATTCAGGCTATTATACTATATTGTTGCAGTAGCACACAAAGTGCAGCCCTGTAGCAGCCCGCACTGACACCAGTGGACATTTTAGGACACATAGAATAAAGAGAAGATTCTAGAGCACACCATGTAGAGTCTGAACATAGTGGGTTCATTATGGGGGGAAAAAAAAAAGAAGAAGGCATAATACAGTTTTATCGCCTGCACACACACACACACACACACACACACACCCCTCCCTAACTTGGACTGACGCAGCAAATCAGCTTAGTAAGTAATGAATAGAGCCACAGTCACACAAATACAAGTGACAAGTGAGCTGGAAAAAAAATACAAAATGAAATAAAACCAAAACATAGAAATAAATACTTACTTTTTGTAAAAAATAAAGATTCTCAGTAGTTCTGAAGTACCGTTAGTTAGTGCAAATAGAAAAAAAAAAGTATAAATACTTTCTTCACAGAGGATATATTACAAAAAAAGTATTCCAGTACATGTAGATGTCGGAGGATTGGCGTTTCACGGTTCGCTTCGGTTTCTGTTTTTTGAAGGTTTATTTTTTTTATTGTCTTTTTTTTTTCTTCTTCTTCTCNTTTTTTTTTTTTTTTTCAGCAGGCTTAGCAGAGTAGCTCCCTCCTACTCGGGAGTTTCGCAACTTCGTCCCCTTCTCGCTCGGCGCTGCCTGTATTTATAGCCTCCCTCCGCCATGGACACGAGGTGGGCGGTGATGCGGCTTCAGAGGTCAAAACAATACGAGCGGCCGCGATTGGCTGCGAGCGACAGTCCCGCCCCCCGAGCAGGGAGCGAGCCGGGCGCTGATTGGCTCGGACGCGCTGTCAATCGGGGACATATGATTCTGTGAAATGGGAGAGACGCTTGTGATGAGGGGCTTGCGTCAGAGATAACCTAGGTCTGCGCTGACAGCAAAAGGCAAAAGTAATTAATGTTGGGAGCGAAACTGTGATACAGAAAGATAAATAATGTGTTTGTGTTTTAGAGCGAATGCTTAAAAATATGTAAAATAAACCCCATCAATGAGGTGGTTTAACCCTTATAATAAGATAATAATAGACAGCCTGCACCGTCAATGTAGCCCTACAAGGAGACGTTTATTCTAATATCATTTATTTATGAGCTTTTTGTAATCTGCAACGATTAAAAAAAATAAGTACATAAAAAATAACCATTAAAAAAAAACCCTGCAGGAGCTGTGATGGATGTGTGAGTGTGTTGCCTGAGAGGAGATTCCCTACAGCGGAACAATACAGCTGGCAGCAGTGTGGGTGGTGCTGAGCGCTATCTGGAAAACACAAGCGCTGATTGGTCCAAAACGGGGCAGGAGCCCTACGGTGAATGGTGTGCCCGTATCCAAGGTGCTGATGCAGGCTGCGCACGTCATTGCTCGGCTGAACACACGCTGTTGCCTAATTTAAAGTGCACTAACACACACACACACACACAGATAGGTGAGCTGAAGTCACTGCTGCTGCTGCTGCACAGTGCTGATTTACAGTCAGCTTAAAGTATGCATAATAGCAATCATTTCCTGATGCTCTATTTTATTGTAAATACCAGTAATTGTGCACGTTTTCTTTCTGTAAATACCACCATATTTCTATTTATTGCACCTTCTTCCGTACACTGGTTCCTTATCTATCTTGAACCTTAAAATCCATCTATCTATGGGAGAGAAGTAAAAATAAGGGTTGTAACCATTTACAGACAGAGCCTAAAAATAGGAATATTACATCCGATTTTCCCAGAAACGGCACCGACAGACATTCTTTGAGCACTTAAGTTTGCAGGCAGGGTCATGTGAGCCGTAAATGTGCACGAAAAAGAGGGGCCCCCCTGTCGGAAAGCGCTGCGGGGATCAAAACGCACAAGACAAGGCGGCAGATCGGGCGGGGAGCCGGAATAGACGAGGGATTATGTGGTTTGACTTTGCCTCAGATTCACGATCTCCCTCACGGTGGAAGTGGGTGGGAGGGCGAGCCAGCCGGCTGCCAGCAGCAGCACTGTGACTTCCACGGTCCCGGCGAGGCCTTGTGGGTTGTTTTTACTGTAAACAGCTCAGCGAGATCTAATGTCACATGTCCTCTTGGATCATTGCCACGCAGGCATTCTCCGCTGGCTGCTTTTTATGGTACGGCATTTACATACAGTGTGCTTCCTCGGCCTTGTGTGGTTGTTTGCAGGGGCAACAAACAGCGAGCAAGGTCAGCAGTAAAAAAGAAATGAGGCATGTTAAGGCTGCGATATTGTCTTAGGGTGTAATCCTTTAATCATTAGTCGAATGTATCCGCAGAAGTCTAATCCCCCAATCGGTCAGAGTTTGTGATCCGGGATTGAGATAATTTTCAGTGTTTTTGTTGTGAAAACGCCTCTCAGGAGGGCTTTGTTGTGTTTTTACTGAGGCTGAAAGGAAGGTGTAGGGTGTCCAGATATCTACTAACCCATTTCTCAGCGAATTGAAGGTCACCTTTAACAAAAAAAAAACCAGTAGCGTTGCATAAGCGGCATTTGTCATAAGACCTCGGAGCGAACATCCCCCGTAATAAAACAAGCTTGATCTCAGGCTGACAGCTCCGGGATGAGCAGCATCCTGACAGGTGTGTGACACTGCATTATGATCCACTTCCTCTAAAGAAAGCAATTAGGAGAAGGGAAAAATTGCTTTTCTTCTTCTTTTTTTTTTTTTTTAGCTCCTGAAATCACATCTGTGGTTAAGACTCGTGATTAAAATCCCATTTCCTGCAAACTGTTTATGTGCGGTATTAAACGACACGTAAACAGAAGAGAGGAGCAGCTGACACACAAGCAAAAGGAGATTTCTCACACACTTCCATGTCTGCCTCCTCCCTTCGCTTCCCTTTTATCCCCCGGTCGCCCCCTCGCCCTCCCTTCCAGCTCAGACACAGAGGCTTTGACGTCACTGGTTGTTATTACTTAACACAACTCTGCAGAGCGCCCTGGGCTCCTCGTAATAGACAGATGCTCTGCTCTGCCTTTGAAGAGCAAATGAAGTAGTGGGTGAGACGAAGGAGACGGCAGAGAGAGAGAGAGAGAGGCAGAGGAATAACTGTGGGTGCTGCACTGGCACCGAGACTTTTGTGGATTTTGTCTTTGTTGTGCCAAAATGAAAAGCGTCTCTTCCAAAACTCAGATTCACGCCGGAGAAAATGTCGCTATTTGAAGGAGCTGAATCGCATAACATTAGATAACCGAGTGATTTGGAATTATGCAATACATATTTCAGATTTAAGCTTTCTTCAGAAATCCTTGACTCTGAGACACACATAAGGCATGAAAGAAGCAGCACATAAAGATATAAATGGTTTATGGAGACCATGAATGGTGGATGGAGGATGTAGCTAACCACGGGATGAAAAAGGCTAATTATCTTCCTAAAGATATAGACGTTGATTAAATGGAGAAAACTGGCCGTGCGATATCTCCATTAGCATGGTAGCATGGCAACGCAAGACCTCCAGCTCATCAGCATCACTTAGCGTTAGCGGCTAAAGCGGTCCAGAAGATTACCCAGCACCAGGCAGTGTGTCTCACCGCTTTAATCCCAAGCGTTTAACCTAAAGAAATGAAGTGACCGCGCTGCCATAAAGCCTCATTAACTAAATTTCACGAGCGACTGAGTGTTTACGGCGACGATTCATGGCGTTATCAGGGGATTTTTTTTTCTTCTTTTACTTTTGTTTTTGCTGTGGAGCGGCCCGTCAGCTCCTTCTACAGCCGTTAAACATCACGCTCCGCTGGCCTGCACACGGAGGATTTACGCGGCGCGGTATATGTAAATACAGAGGTTATGTTATCAGTTGTCACGACAGCAGCGTAACGACTTTTTTCTCCTGCACGGTCGCCTTCATAACCCGCCGAGGCTGTTACATAATTCATCCGACGGCAGGCCGTTTGGGCAACATCAATAGATCTATTCGCCATCTGCAGAGAGAGGAGAGGGGAAGAAAAAAAAGAGGAGGCTGAAAAGCACAAAAGAATATAATCAAGTCTAAGCTGAGTAAAATAGCTCATTATTGATCCATGGTCAGTTTCAGAAGCGCTAAATTAATGAAGCCTCTTCATCCGTGGGCTCTTTCTTCCTGCGTTGCTTTGTGTTATCTGATGGGCCGTGCAAATGAATGATGCTATATTTAGAAAAGCATGTCACATATGGCGTGGTACACGTCCTGCGTTTATCAAGTTGGGTTGCTAATTATAAGCATCCATAAGTCATTTGTTTTTCAGTTTCCTAATTGCTTTATTATCTCTGCTGCCTCTGTGCAGCTCCTCTGCTGCATGTTGTTTTGTTGTTCTGTACATTCTGTACATTCCTCCTTATCGTTTCCCTCACTTTGACCTTGTAGCTTTGCTCGGTAAAGAAACGACGCAGCTTTAACTTCCAGGCCAGGAAAAAAAAAAAAAAAAGCACAATTGAATGTCTCTCACATGCACCAATGAGCAGGTCGGTCGGCTGCACGACTCCGGTACTGTACGTTCCCGTGAATCGGCGGTCACGTGAGCTGTCTCTAAGCTAATTCTTTACTCTTGATTTCGTCGCCACCTCTGCGACTCCTTGAAGGGAGGGTACGGCAGCCCTGCATGTGCTCCGCATGTACCGAACCGGCCGACTCACGCGCCCACGCTGCACATAAACTGTCCTGAAATGATAGAGCGACACCCCCGGTGCCTCAAGGACGCGGAGAATCAATTTAGTAATGAGACATGGATAGCTAATGGAAAGATAAGAGAAGGTGCAGAGGAATTTTTTGATTTATCCGTGGCAGTGACAAGGCGCATCACTTTGTGTGGTTTAGTACCTGACATTATGTTGATTACTTCACATTTTTTACTCCGCTCCCCTCTTCCTCCCCAATCACTCATGACTTTTTAATGCAGGGCCCTTCGTTTGGACGACAAAAACGAGTTTGCTGGCGGGCTGGAAGGGCGGAGGGTCCACGTGAGTCTTTAACAGCAGGACTGGACGCGCTCCAAGGTGGCATCTTAGCGGTAAACAAAGGTGGACCCTCTGCAGCATGCTCGTTCAAGAGGGTACATTGCATTATCTATTATATATATGTGAGGCGACCTGGCGAGTTAGTGTTTGAACGTATTCCACATTTCCATACGACTAAAATCCAATTACTTTCTTCACGTTTATCTTCTATTCATTTGCAGGTTTGCGCAACTTGTCAGTTTAAAGGATCGGATTATGATAGTTGGCATGTTCCTGCCGTGATAGTTCTGTTAATATTACACCATTTTACACACTTTTATCTCATCATTCCCGGATTACTGCAGCAGCCTGAACCAAATATCTATTGATTAACTTCAGACTGTGCATAACTCAGCTGTCAGGCTTCTTTACCAGAAATAAAGGATAAAATCGCCCCCGTTTTAGCCTCTTTACGCTGACTCCCCGCATGTTTTAGGACAGATTTTAAGATTTTAATCTGTTGCGTTTAAGGTTGTTCTTGGTTAATCTGCTGGCTTTATCTCTGACCATCTAATGTGATAAACACAGGTGTGCACTTTGAGATCCTCGGACCAATTAAATCAGGTTGGCTGACCACTTTTAACCTTTCATAGATGAGTTTTTGAGATCTGTACATCATCAGCGGGATACTTTTTTTTATTTCTTGAAAAGTTTTAT